GCATGGTGAAAAATGCAATCAAGATGATACAGAATAAACACTGGTCAAAATAAACAAAATCTGTGAATCTAGCGTTCTTTAGTATGTTATCAACTATCAGGAAAGTTCAAGAAAACCTAATTCGGACACATACTGGGCTTGTTATCACCAAAATCCGGTTTCTAATCTAACATACCTCGTATTGCTTCTTAACTGCAAACTGCGGTCAAAATATCCTTAGCGGAACGGCGCCGAACGGCGCAGTGGTATTGGCGTCCGCTCAAAAAACGCCTTCAAAAACTGCTGAGGCGACCAGTTGCTCACAAGCGGACGAAGTTGCATATTTACCCGTTTGCAGGCGAATCTTTACCTCGTTTCCAACTCCTTGTATGAATAAGCTCTAGGGCCGACTTTACAAGAAAATGTGGAACCCTTAGGACCTTGCAGGGATCGAGACTAAGAGGTTTGACTTCTTTTCTACCAAAAAAAATTCAATTGTACGTATGAAGTTTAACTCCTACTTTCATATTCGATATAATCTATTTTGTCTTTGAATTTTTGACAGGAGGAAATAATGCACGATTAATGGGGATTTTGATTTAATTTTGATGCCGTGGTACACTTCTTTTTCCGAGAAACTTAAAACATGTGGAGAAATCCCGCTCTGATTAGAAAATAAAATTTAGATTTTAGATTGTGACAATGCGTGCATCGATTTTTTCGTGCGATTATGAATAGAATAATAACCCTCCTTTGCAAGGTCCAAAAAAATGTTGCACAAGGTCATTAAATATTATATTTGAATGTCAGATATATATGTTACAAAATCAAAATCTGTGAAAACTTTATCTAACCGATTTCTTTAAAATTGTTGTTGATACTTTTTCGTAGAAAAATCGGTAAGATAAAGCTTTTACAAAATTTGATAAAGTATGACCGATAAAGTTAACAAAAGCAGAGATATTATATTACAGTTAAGCACAGAGGTATTTAAAAGTTTAAGGGATTTTCTGTCCCAATTTCTCTGATTAAATTCGATTTTTTTTTCTTCTTCTTTTTTACATATTTGTAATATAAACAATAAAGATAGGTCTAAAATTAAGTAGTTTTTGACACCCAATAATCAAAAGGCTCACAAAGTCAGTTTTATCGTAAGTATTTCTGAGTTTGATGTCATAGCCCAACTTTGAAGTTGACCTGTATTTTGAGTTACAGAACTACCATTACTGAATAATTTCAGAAACGCCATATAGCACTAGTTACTGGTTTCTCTGCGTGGATGAGTGCTTATATCTTTGTTGCAAAGTAAAGTTCAGCCTCGACAAACGAAATAATCCTGTTCGTTTTCAAGAAAGATCGAATAAACAACGGAAAGTGAACGAAAAAGTATTGACTGGATGAACACTTGCTGCATGCATGATTGCAGGCGCAGCAAAATCAACAACAAGACCTTAGCGCTCACTGCAGGGGAAACTAGAAACTAACGAAGAACTGAAAGTTCAGACTGGTTCGACTCGTTATCCGACAGAGAACGTTGAATGTAGTGAACGTACGTAGTGAAAAGCTTCACCATAGTCAATCAATCTGTTTCTTACAAAGAGTTTGTATTAGACAAAATTAATTAAGCTATTCAAAACGTTTTGACTCAATACTTTGTGGCTCGGTTGGTTGATACACTTATTTAAAGGTGCTTTTTATAACTCAAAGTCATTAACACCCTGGAAAGTAAAGATCAATAGAAATGTGCAAAACTAAAAAGGACCAGGAAAGAAAAAATTAAATTTAAGGATTCAAGTGGAGCTGAGTTGAATATTCTGGTATGTTAGTTCATTTTGAGATTCATCTGATAAAAATTTAAACGCCCATATTAGACTGTTTGAACGGATCGAAAGTCAATTTTTTACTCAGGGACTAAAATTTACTATGAATTTGAGGAAAAATTATTGACTACATTTTTTTTCTAAATGAAACAATGGGAGATTCTTTCAACATCCCACTTGCAGAAACATATTCCTCTACTTTCGCCATTAACACGCTAACATTTTAACTAGCCAAAAATCCGCCCCCTTACCTGACTTTAACAACTTAAATCTCTTAATAATCCAAAAGAATCTTTGGTGCTTTTGAAAAACGATAAATAATTCTCTCCGTGTTGCAAGTTATTCACCATGCTTCATAATTTTTGACTCCAGAGAGAAGTTTAGGATTTATACGCCTACGAGCTGCACTCTGATTTTCAATGCGTCTCTCTTTAGACGTCTTGCACAGAGCAAGTATTAATACTTATGGCCATACACGCAGTATTAGATCCTCGTTAAATGATGTGCTGTACGCCTGGTGACGGCACAATGAAACCAACATCAACTTGATCAGTTGCGAAACGTCAACGAGCCGCCTGTATTTGGACTCACTTTGCAGAACTTTCTCGATTTGTAAGAAAATATTGTTTCCTTGCCTTGCAAGAATCACCGCTCAGTGAGTAAGAGTGTCAAAAATAGCGTTTTTATTTTTGAAAAAAAAAAATACAGTGGACTCTCGATAATTCGAACCTCGATAATTCGAAAACCTCGTTAATTCGAAGGAAAGTCTGTTTCCCTTGAAAATCTCTCGATAATTCGAAAAAAATCAATGTATTTTTCTCCCCTCGTTATTTCGAAATTTTTAAGCTGGCGCGGCCCTCTATAATTCGAAATTGCGAAGAAAATTCTCTCTGTAATTCGAAGTGTGGTAAGTAAATACGGTCCTCTCTCTATAATTCGAAATAAGACGGTACATTCCCTCTACAATTCGAAGTCAACTGTTCATGTACCTGGGTGTCTGAAAGAGCTTATAGGATTGTCAACATGTAAACAAGTCCCGTGAGTCCCCCCGCGAAAAGCTTGATCAGCTGATTAGTAAGCATCTGATTAAATATAAATAATTAATAATAATAACGTAGTGTAAGTTTTACTTCCGTAAAGAAATAAACTGATGTTTTTGGTTATTTTTGGCGTAAATCCGTCCATTTTGCCCCTCTATATTCGAACCTCTCTATAATTCGAAATTTCTCCACATGGAATCTCTTTAATTCGAACTCTCTTTATTTCGAAACCTCGCTAATTCGAATAAAAAGCCGATTCCCTTCAATTTCGAATTATCGAGAGTCCACTGTAGCATTATAATATAATGAATATTTAGCTTGGTAAAGTTATTATGCAAGTCGGTAAAGTTAAGTATTTACAGTGGATATCGAATGTAACGACCTATCAGGCATAACGACGCCATTTGACCAGGCTCGGCTGAACTTCGATTTAACCAATATACTATAATGCATTTTTTAAGACGACATCATCGCATCTGGCGACTTATCGGCCTTAGTAGCGCAATTTTATCAAAACTCGGGCTAGGCTATCTTTACACAGTAACAAGTTCTTAACATCCTTTATTTTTTGTCTTGTGATGGGGCTTTGGCCTTCGTGCATTGTCGCAAACAACCAAGTAAAATGAGAACCGCTCAACTCCGCCCGTTTGAATAATAGCGCCAAACACAGTGCGGTCGGCCTGAAGCACATGTTAGCGCCTACAAGACTGTGGGGATACTTCACGCATTGCACCAAACGTAGCACGGTCACGGTCGGGTCGGTCGCCTTGAGGCGCACATTAGCGCCTACAAGACTGGAGGAAAACATCACGCATTGCGCCAAACTCAGTGCAATCGACGTGGATCGTATATCTATGGCTAACTAACATTACCGCCTGTCTGCGAACGGACGATTTTGCAGAACGAAGAGAAACATTTGGTATTTATGTAATTACAAGGTTAAATTTGCAATTTTTTCATACATTACAGCGTCATTGAAGCGCTCACTAACAGAATTGGAAAAAAACTTGCTTGCGTCATTTTGCGCTTGACAGCTTGTCACCTTGCGTATTTTATACTGTAGAATGCGGCTAAATCTCTGACTCATTTTTGCCAAAATTGCCAGTTTGGCGGTATTGCTCGTTAGGCATCGATATTAGCACCTACAAGACTGTATGCGTACTTTACTTACGCAGAGCGCCTACACCAAGGTGCGCGCTTTATCGTAGAATACTCGTAATCTATCGATGTCAGACCTACCGCTCGTGGTGTGTACGATTTCTGACCAGTGTATACAGGGGGTGACTAACACAAGTGTACACACACCCAAAAAAAAAAAAAAAAAAAAAAAAAAAAAAAAAAAAAAAAATGAAAATGAAAATGTAGAGCTAAACATATATTGGTGATTCTTCTCCTGCCAACAAGGAAATCTCGTCTTCATACCCTAGCGCCAGCACAGTTGTTTTACTCTTTGCTATTATCTTTGAGGTGAGTGCGTAAAAAATTTAACTAATCTCTCTGTTATGACAACTATCGGCTATTTATATCAGCCTCGATTGAAATTTGGCAGCTTAGGTTTGGGAATGGGTATTTGAATCTTGTAATAATTTAAATCTGCTACAAGTACAAAATATGAATGGAAAAATTCTATGATTTTGACCATTGAGGTAGGTGCGAACCTACCTTGAAGTTTACAAAAATCGCAAAATATGTTCTTCGAATTTTTTAAAAAAAAATTTTAAAATTTCAAGTTTCACAATTTATCAAAATTCTCGTTTAAAGCTAAAGTCTGAAGGAGCAAACGAAAAAAACGTTTTTAAAATGCGTCAATTAGAACCTGAAACAAGTGTACCTTAGGATCAGTACAATTTACATGGCGGAGACAGGGGTTGCCGATTCCACGTAGAGACGATTATGAATACAATCCTTAAATTGAAATCAAAGATTCTTTAGAGCATCAACAGACAACCCCGCCGGCGATGAAGAGAGTACCCGGAGCATCCCAGAGAAAGTGATAAGGGAGCGAGGAGTCACCATGGCATGTCTCCCCTGATGGACAACTCATAGCGCAAGCTCGCTCATGAGCCAGCGCAAGCGGGAAAACGGATGAATGACAACGACAGTATGACATAAATCCCGCGTAACGCCGACGGAGGGGCCGGTGGCGTCATAAATTACTCACCAATGAGGAGGCGGCGCGGTGGCGTCGATGGTCTCCCGGCGTCGCCGGCGTCGTCTTCGTCGTCGTTGTGGCCTCAATGGCGGTGGCGCGACCCTGGCCCTGGCCTGCCCTCAGCATGCGTCGTCCGATCCGCCCTGCAAAAATCCATAAACTCCATAAAACCGGGATCGTGGCGTGGCGGGCTGGCGAGGAATCGTGATTGGATAATTGGTCCGCCGAGCATTAAGACCCCTTAATGAATTATAAAATTATTATCGCGCTCGTAAATAATGCCGGCGCGGCGTTGCCGGACCGGGAAAAATACCGTTGACATCGCCTTCGGGGCCGTTCGTAAAAAAACTAGAGTTCCTGTACACTGTACCTGTACACTGCCGTGGTAAGGAGGAACGCCGTATGAACCTTCAGGCGTTGCCAAATTTCCTTTGATAAAAACCGAATTTACTAGAAAAATTGAGAATATTTTTTTTCCAAAATTTTCGGGCAATTTTGTACGCAATTTAATCTAAAACATCTGAAAATTTCAAAGAAAAATATGCATGAACGTCGTCAAAAATACATGTTTTATCAAGAGAAATTTGGCAACTCTCGAATGTTCATACGGCGTTCTTCCTTAGTACGGCAGTACAGTGCTCCCGGTTCCCGGAACTGCTGCCGAATTTCGGAACTTTCGAGATTTGTCTGAATGTTTCCCGGAACTTTTGAAATTTCCGAAGTGTTTAGGACCTCCTGAGATTCGACTTATTTACAATACCAACCGTGTGGTTTGGTTTTTTTTTTATTTTTTTAAGAAGAGATATACATATGATGGCCTAAAGCTACCGAAAATAATGGAAATACAATCAATTAAAAATGTACAATCGCTCAACGAACACAGTGTGGCAACTTTACGCGCATATCAAACTCAAATGCGATATTGAAAACTCAGAGGAAAGTTATTTTTCAATTTGGTAAATCTTTGGGGCCCGTTTTCAAACATGCAGGCGGTGCACAGTAGATCGAGTCAATCAGAGAGGTCGGACAAAAAAATGTTTGACTAAAACTGCAATTTTTTATGTTTATTTTGTCTTATTTTAAATTTTAAGGGGTGCTTGTAGATGAAAATTTCTCGAGGTAACCAACGGAACCACTTTTAAAACCTCAAAATTGTGTATGAACGAATTTACAAGGTTTTAAAGTTTCTAAATTTGGCCCGACCTCTCCTAATGACTCGTTCCACTGTGCGGTGGAAAACGAGACACCTCGTGGGATCCAAATGGTAGGGGGTCTCAACTTGGGGCACCGTCAAGAAACAGTGGGGGCTCCCGTCTTCCGTATTCATCGGGGTGCAATATAGTGCAGGTATACCTACCAGTGAAAAATAAATGACCTCAAATTTTTTCTAGTGAAACGAGAATAAGGAGATGCTAATTTTAGATTCGTGAATTTATAACCACGCTTAAAATTCAAGGACGTTCTTAAAAAGAAAAATCTGATCGGTGATTTTCAAAATAATGAGGTTAAATATAAATTGCTTCAAATGATACGATGAATTCTGCAACTAAATATAGCGAGAGGAGTCATAGCTTTTCTATGCTGGCGGATAAAATGAATAATGCGACTTGTTCTCTATAAATTTGAGCGTTACACATTTAAGTCTTACCGGTACTTTCAAGTTTCTATTAGGGGATGCGCCCTCTGACCGCTCCTTGATCCAGCCCCCAATAATATGTTTCGTGGCTCATGAGTGATTAGATGAAGTTATGCGTCATACGTCACTCCTTTGACTTACATATGGACGTATTTATGCTGAAAGGAACTATGTGCATAGGGTTTGCGTATAACATGGTTCCTTTTAGCATTAATACGTCCATTTAGTAGTATAATCTGCGTCAAATTTGAAAAAAAATAGAGCAGGGCGTCAATATGCGTCCTTAGTTGTATATTGCTCCGTTTGGACATTATTTTTGAAGGCAAGTTAGAAACAACAATTGTTTACTAGTACTGAAAATTATCACAAAAACGTCAAACTACCCGGATGATTATTTTTTTTCTCTTATTTTACTAAAAGAATTTGCAAAATGGCGTTGATATAATCTGGATAGAGTGTGACTCCTTCACAATTTTTTTGTATCTCATATAATGGAAGACTAGAATTAGAATAGTTATTATTTCATCATGTTTCTTCAAATCTTTCATTCTTTAGCAAGAAACAATACGGTAATTCGTCAAACTCAAGGGACGTGGTCGAACTGGCATGCGATATCGATTAGGTAAAAAATCTCGGCAAGTAAGCAGCTGTATCGAATGCGATGTTTTTTCCTACCACTATTCTGCTTTCGTTTCTCTAAATTTTGCCGATCTTTTGACTTAGAATGATTTTTTAGGCTAATGCGCAGGGGCTATCGTCCATTTTTTCCTAAAAATTCTAAATCTGCCGAGATTTTTTACCTAATTGATGCGATAAATCGCATGTCAGTTCCACCATGTCACTTGCATGACGGATCGCACTTTAAGCATTTTTACCACCACGGTATCCATGTTCCTCATTGAAAACGATCTGAGAACCACTACAAAAAAATCAAGGAAGCCAGGACAGGGTGAATGCCGTAGAGCACGTGGACCAACTAATTACACTCATAAATTATGGGCTCTTTTCTGTTACGTTTCAAGCACCGTCAAGATGCGGCCCTTCCTCAAAACCAAGATTCAAACTGATTGTAAACACATAATAATTAAAACCCGGCAAGACTAATTCATCAACTTCCGCGTGCGATTACCCGCGTGGTTTATGCCTCACCCATAAATTTGCCCTCGGAAATAATGGATATTGAAAACATTTAGAGGTCATGTCATGAGGAAAGGTGAATTCAGTTTCGTTGTTTCCAATAATCAGGTTTCGCAAAGGTTGAAAGGGTTGAAAAGTCAAAAGAAACACTTTTGAGATGAACTGACACCACTGTCTAAACGAACTATCTAGTTAGACCAGTGTTCGAAACTCACCTTTGAGTTTTAGGAGCCCTGTGGCGCATCAAGCCCAATTTTTAGGCACCATTGAATACTTTTTAGGGGCCAAATTGCCTTTTTGCCCATATATTACGGCGCATTTAGTGAAAAGTTTGACGCAAAATGTTTTCGTAACAGAACTAGTAAGTAACTGTAACTTGAGGAAGACAAAAGCACAAATGATGAAATCGTGATGAATAGAGAAAGCTTTCACTTGCGGTGCTGAAAATTTCGAATAATCACCTAGTATGAAAATTCAGATTTTTAGGGGGCAATTTATAGGGGCTACGTTGGCGCAGAGCCTTCATTTTTAGGCTCCATGGCCGATTTTTTAGATGCATTTGGCGCGTTAGCGCCTGTGAGTTTCGAACACTGAGTTAGACTAACAATAAGCAAAAGCTTCTACAGTTTCCGCAAAGGCATTATTTTCTGCCCGTGGTCTAGGGTGGACACTGTGGACAGGAATGCACATTCGTAGATTAATTCTATAATTCTAGAAAGAACGCCTAGGATCCTTTTGGACGCCATGGATATTGCGGATCATAAAAAAAGTTTAGATGCCTTAACTACATTTTCCGACTTATCCGTTAATTAACTCATGTGCATAGGAAAATAATGGCACAACATGTGTGGTATCTAGATAGAGCGGAGAATTTTGGGGTCATTCTCAGCTATAAGACAAGTTTCGCTTCTCCGCTCTTAAGATGTTTGGGCCAATCTTCTTATTGGACCCTTGTAAGAAAAAAAAAAAAAATTTGATGAAAAAGAAAAAAAGGTGACGAAGTTTTGTCCCTTTAGCTGAAAACGACGCCACAACTTCCTGCTCAAACTAGGAACAACGTAAGTATCATTAGTTTTCCTATGCATGTGAGTGATTTAACGGATAAGCCGGGAAATGTTGTTCAGGCAGCAAAACTTTTTTTTTTTGTTGCGAAATATGATTCTCAATATCGATGACGTCTAAATATAGATCCTCGAGTTATTTCAATTTTCAAGAATTAAATGAAGACCCTGCAGCTCCAAATTTTAAAATTTAGTCCAGACGGGGTAAGACCAGACCCCTGATATGACCAAAATACTGCCGTGCTAAGGAAAAACGCCGTATGAGCCTTCAGGCGTTGCCAAATTCCCCCTGGAAAATCACTATAGTCCAGTCAATCTGGCATTTTATTTTGCGAAAATCTGAGGAGAAAAAAGTAAGACGGATTCCTATGTAATTTGGGTCGCTGAATCCGAATCTGATGTTTGCCAACAAAAATTTTGACCGGAAATGGCCGCCATCTTGAAAAAATGGCGGAAAATCACGTTTTTTCCCCAAAATCCCCCAAAATCTCACTTATTTTGGGGTTTTCGACAATATAAGTTATCTTCACTTTAAAAGTACGTAAAATTTCCTATCAAACGGCTTTTAGATTTTTGAAATCGGACAATTAGGGTAAAAGTTATGGGCGAACGCGTTAGGGGTGGTTTTAGGGGTTGATGAATTTTTCACCAAAATTGCTGCGTAAAAACGCTGCAACGCCGTTGGAAGTGAAACAAAAATTCCGAAAATGGTTTGCATGTGTCCCCCTGGGTACCAGTGACTCTCCGCCATGAAAAAAATCCCCTACCCCCGCCCCTCCCCCCGCGCCCCTCATTCAATGTGCACTTTTTTCAATTAAATCACACTAATTACAGACGCCGAAAACGTATGCAAAACCCTCATGGATCACTTGGTTTTCCAACTCCCATCACCCCCCTTAATCCCGTTATGACCTCCCTCACCTACCCCTCCCCCCTCAACCCCCTCCCCGCCCCTCCATCCCTCCACCCCAAACCCTTATTAGCCATATAAGAGCCACCGAACCGATTCTGAAAGCAAGATTTTTTTTTTTTATTTTTTTTTACAGGCGGCGAAAATATTTTAAAGACTTCATCTTAGGCAGCTAGGAACTCAAGATGGATGTGTGGGATTTCCACCCACTAAAAACCCCTCCGCTTTGGGTGAGCGAATTGAAAAAAAAGAGCACTGAATGAATGTTGTCTTGAATAGCTGTTTCTCTGTAACATTTTCCATAAATCCGCTCCAACTCGGTAAATTCGGTATTATACTGACTGCTGAAATTACAGAGTGAGAAATCGCGTTGCCTTTTTTTTGGAACTTCGGTTTGCT